GGGGGGGTGGTGGTGGGGGGGGGGCCGTGCACACCCACCGGAGACCCGGCCAATTCAGGCAGGGCAGCGCTGCACGACAAGCATCTGTCACACAGCCCGGAGAGGCGACGGATGGACGGAGCTCAGCTCTTCGCGCCGAGGGCGCCCAGCATCCCGGCCGCCGAGCCGCACCGAGGAGGGCGCGGGCAGACGGAAGGAGGAGAGGAGCGATCCCCGCCGAGGTAGCATCGCTGATGAGCGGGAGCAGCGGGTCCCCGGAGCGAGCCCCGGGTTTAGGGCAGGCTCGCACATTTAATCGAGGCTTATATAGCACGTCCTTGTGCATAAAAAGGCAGGTTTGGCTGCTTCCTCCCACGCCTGAGCGCTGCAGCGAGTCACTATCCGAGAGATCAGGACTAGCAAAGGCTTATGAATGAAAAGAAATGCAGCATAAGTAAATCAATGCGAGCTAACGGACTCCAGCCTATGAATAAATTATTAATTTGTGCTCACAGAAGAATCCTCTTGACATAAGCAAACATAAGATTGCAAGCTCTTCCACAGAGAGAGCAGCGTGGGGAGCAGGAGGGATCGGTCCAGGTATTTTTGTTGCTGTTGCATTTTAAAACCTTCCTTTTGCTCTTATTCTTCTCCCTCTGCTTGTTTCTCACCTTCTTCTCCACTAAATGCACAGACTTAGAATAGCAATTGAACTTTAATGTAAATAAGTATGGCAAGACCTGGAGATGATCTGAGCATGGGCTGAGTCATCCTTGCATCATGCAATACAGCTCCATTGCCCGCTCCAGAATTCTAGTTTCTTCCCACTGTAGTTAGAATTAACACCTCAAAATATTCACTCTGCCTTTGTATACTGTTCTTATCTCGTTTAACATTTGCTGTCTTGAAGCTAGATATGTAGTACCTGTATTTTTTTCCACATTAACATTTCTAAGAGCACTGAACAGTTTGCTTTAAATATCAAAACCTCTCTTCAGCACCTGGCTGACAAAAGCTTTCTGCTTTCTCAGAAGAAACTAGAAGTTTAAAGATAGAAAGACTACCTTAGGGAAACTATAGAACAGCGTAGCGTGGTACGCTGCAACTTTCACCACCCACTGGCCATCCTCACCAGGAACAGCACAGAGATGATATTTCTGTCTGTACTATTATCTTCATATGAAGGCAATAATGAGAGTTTTGTTAAAAGGGACACATTTTGTGTATTAATCAACCATTTTGAAAGTCCTATTATCTGTGCTGTTACTGTGGATTTTCTAAGCAGTGTTTTAAATATGCTGCCATGTCACCAGGTGTTCAGCCTACCTACAGGCAGAAATGTAAAAATGCACATGGCTGACTAACCGTATATAATTAATTATGTGCCCTTTGAACATATTATATAAACAATAGCATCTTTTCAAAACTAGGAATGAAAAAGGAATCGTGGACTGTCTCGCTACTTGTGCTGTTTAGCTTTTTTACATGCTGAACAATGTCAGGAAGGAAATTCATAAAGCTAATTTTGTGGGACTCAAATTAACACCAATGCTTATCTGCTTCAAGTCAACACAGGGCACTGGTGACAAGTAAGAGCTCCCCTCATCCTTCCAAGAATTACTGTAAGCCTTAGAAACTTTTTGAAAGCACATACAAAGTGGCCATGTTCTATAGGCCTGAGAAATTTAACATATATTAAAACCATCACTAATTATTTGCAAGAAAAGATAATAAAGTCATTTGTCAAACCTTGACTTTATTTACATTTATTATACATTCAATACCATGTCAGATCTACAATTTATGCATGTGGCATGTATAACTCAGCACTCACATTTTTTTAATATAGGAATCCTATTTCTACTATCGCTAGTCTCAGAAAAAAAAAGAAATCACTTGAAAAAGAAATTTATACTTGGCAGTATGAGCATGGACACCTCCTTTTGTGTTCATGAACATTTGTATGCATTCTACCATAGCGTGCTCTCAGCATCTTTCATTAACACACGCTGTTTATATTCATGCAGTTATTTCCTTCCTCTCGATAATTCAGTGAATGGAAAGGAAGCCTATCCTGTAACAGTGCTTTAACACCTACAAACCAGACAGAAACACAACACTGCTTTCTGTCAAGCTACTGTATCCTGGCCTGACCACTGCTGCCTATTCCTGCTACGCAGATCTCACTGCAGTGAAGACACCAGGCTCAAAACTAATGTTACCACATGCCCCGTGTTGCCCTCATGAGGAGGATGCAGAAACTTTCCCAAGTGGGTTTGCATAAGGCCCAAGGAAAATAAATAGACAAAAAGCAGTGGTAAGTTCTGATGAAAGGTTTGAGTCTTTCATAGCAGGATTATAGCAGTGTGCTTCATTATTTGGTATAGCCTCGTGATGTCCTGGAGCAAAGTCGGAAGAAAGCTAAGTTTCAAAACATAGTAGTGGATTTATGTTTTGGAAGTAATGTGACATTTCTATCATGTCCTTATGCTGTTACAGATAACTGCCGAATCTGGAAGAATCTCTAAGTGCTGGTCCCACTAGAACAACGCACATACAGATAACTGATGGGAGAATGAAAATGTTTATGCACTTAGCAAATTTACGTTCTAAAACCAAAGTGCATCTTAGCAGTAAGTGCAGGTAGGTTACTGACACGCCAGTGGTCTCAGAAGCAGAGCTCTCCATACAAGTGTATTAAGTTGGATCGCCCTGCCCCCAGCCCCCCATTTTTAAGGGATAAAAATGGCATCTAATCTCCTGCTGTGTCTTTGATGATCAAGTACAATAGCGCATTTTAGTATCTCACAGAAAATGAAAGAAGCTGTTTTCCCCATGAAAGCAGAAATAAAATTTGGACACGTGAATCATCAAGAGTTGTAATAGAAAGTCACAGGCACGGTCACAGGCAGTTGATGAATCCCCAAAGCTTTTGCAGTGTACCATATTCAGCAAATAACTGAGGGACTGGGGGGAGAAAAACAACAATGACAAAAAAATCAAACCACAAAACCCTAACCAAATAAAAAATAAAAACCCACCAGGTCAAGGGCAAAGGGTAATATGGGATATGACACAAAGGCTGTACAGAACACAGACTAAGGAAAAGTCCTGACCATAAATACTTATAGTAACTGTACCTGACAAATTAATGCCATTGTTTTTTCCTGTCTCTACCTCCAGATATATCTACCCTTATAAAAGGGTGCAGGAAGAGGGTCACATCAGAGGATACTTTGAGGTCTTCTGATTAGACACGTACCAAGCCGTAATAAAAAGAAATTGAAAAAATAAAAAAGAAAAAAAAGAAAAAAAGAAAAAAAGAAAATCAATCGAGAGGCATAGAGAGAAGAGAACATATGGTGCAGGGGAGAAGAGTAGGAGGAAATGATATAATTAACACAAATGTTTATTGTATTTCTTTTTTCAGATGCTTATCTACAATGAGTTCTAAACAGAGGAATAAATGCAGAAGGCTAAAGTATTAAAAGCCTTGCTGAAGATGCAAGCCACCTCCAAAAAAAGGAAATACGTCAGTTTATCTATATTCCACATATATTAGAAGATTCAGATACTGCAAAAATAGACAAGTCCTAACTACACTGCATGATGTGGTGTTAATACTTGCTTTGTAGTATATTCCTCAGCAGTTCTAAATACTGAGATCATAATCCTCACGTGTTCTCCACAGTGCCTTTTTTTGGCACTCCCTTCCCCCCATTTTCCCTTCTCTGAAATACTTCTCTTAAAAAACGAGCCCTTAAATAAAGGCAGTGGGAAGGCAGAAAAAAAAAGGAAGTGGAGGGATATAGCAATCTCATGTAATAAACAATTTAATATAATGTCCTGTATTGAAAATCCTTCCAACCTTTAACAATTGTATGCAACTTTTCCCTTACTTCTCTGCAAGTATTATGTTTCACATACGCTTACACATAGAAAATGAAAACAGGAGAAGTAGAGGGATAACAAAAGTCATCTCAGCTTCACAAAGCACTGAGATTGTCAGATGAAAGGCAAAATCTGAACATTCACGATTTATTATTTGGAAACAACCCAATGGTGGAAGGATTCATCAAGTAGAGTTTGCATGCTGTGAGAACACAGGCTGACTTGTTTCAAGTGAGCTGTACATCTGAGGAAGAGCAAGAGACTGCATATTAGACCTATTCTGTAGGGACTTAACATAGGTACATATATTCTTTGAATTTTATGAAAGTCCCATGTGTACAAATCTAAGTGTTTCATTGGTACAAGAATGTCTACTTATTGACCAATTCCAACCCACTTGCAGAGATTGAGGTCAAGTAATATTACTCACTGGATTAAATGCACAGTTTCACATAATGGACATGAGCTAGTGACTTGTATAAATTAAAATATTGCAAAAATTCTAAACCCCACCAGTACTTTGTATGCAACTTGGTAATATTATCATCTTGTTTGTGTATACTGTTCAGGTCAAATCAAACACTAATATTTCAGTTCATGAGACTATTAAGGGTATATGCAACCTATGTTTACATATACTGAAAAATCAGTTACATTAGAATAAATAAAACCTCTCAAGATTTAAAAAATACTAATATACACTCACAATATGTTTTAAGTATAGCATTTTAGGTTACCATCACATTATCTTTAGCACACTTCAACACCAAATAAACTTCACAGTTTGCCATAAACCCCCAAGGAATGCATGGTTAATTTAGCTTCTACAAAGCCTATGTTCAGCTGGCTTTAGCATCTCCACAAGGAGTTAAAATGTAAAAGAGAAAAGCATTATCACATCCCAGCCTATGAGAGCTCACACTGCATGGTAAGCTAGAATGCTTTAAGCTAATGATGTTTATAGCTAACCAAATCCAATTTCAGCAGTCCACTGTAGCTCTAGTCTGTTAGTGCCATTTTACATAAGCTTCATTTATTTTGAATTTTCAACTATTAAGACAAAGTCTGCATTTGGCTTTTTTTGAGTGTCATGCTAGGAAACGCTTTTCTCTAAGCAAATAAATTACCTTTTTACTCCCAAGGCTAGTGCTAGGTTGTAAATGCATTCAAAATACTTGAAAACCAAAGACAGAACTTAAAAATGAAAAACCGTAATTGAGAACTCTAACATAATGGACAGAATGCCACGGAAACAAACCAACCTAGCCTTCTTTCTCTGATGATACAAATGAGAAGTAAAGGTCACAACATATTTAAGAGCTAATCTATTACTGTCTACACACTAGAATGAAACCCCTGGCCATATCTATAATGGGCTTGTGAATGTTCACCCAAACCTTGCAAATTCCTCAGAGCCACTTTAAGGGACCCTTGTCAAAGCCTGAAATATAGACTTCAAAGGTTATGAAAAGCATTGCTTTTACTTCAGATGTTGGCAGGATTAGTGACACAAACACTGGGTACCAAAAATTATGTATGTAAGGGGGGAGAAAGAGGAGAAGTAGTACTGAGACTCTTTCAAAAGACAGGTCCTTTTGCATCACTAAATGAAGTGAAATCTATTGACAGTGAGGTTAAGTTTCCAACCACTCAGCTGAAAGCACTCTGCAAACTTTAGACTAACAATTAATTATTTTAAAAGTACTGTCCTTATTGCAAAGTTGAAAATATAGCATAGCTTTTGATCCAAGAAACAGTGCTATGTCGAGTAATTATGTAAAGCTATTTAGGTATTTCAGAGGCCTGTAATTCTGTCACTCTCCAATTAATTCCTGCATCACACAAAGGAATTTTGAGATGGAAATGTGACTTTTCTGAATTCTTGAGTATCTGATCAAAAAACTCGTAGTTTAGGCAACACAGTGCTGCTTATGAGATGCTACAGAAAATGAATTTTGTGCAATTCTATTGCAGCAGTGGCTAACCTGTGATCTACTTCTGCTCTATCACTTTGGTGAGCCTTATTTATTTATTGTGAATATTGACTGATCCTGAAAATCAAAGTTATCTCAAAAGGCTACTGGAATTAGCATATATTAAAAAGTAAACAAATTATGGTAATAAATTCCAGTATCTTGTTATATTAAAAAAATAATACAACAACATAAGAAAAAGTCCTGAAGAAGAAGGATATTAGACTGTCTTAAATATCTGATCACAACTGCAGAGTAAGACCACCAAGAATTATCAAAAGGTAAATATCATTTTAGTCTTATTGAAATGTCTTAGGAAGCACTAAATACATTTCTTAGCTTTTCAGAGTTTAAAATTGCTTTATTTAAATGGAGTGTATGCAATTCATTAATTGTCTTAAGGTCACAACAGCAACCTGATAAAACCTATTTAAGACTTGCTGCTTTATGCAAATCAAGTTTCACCTCTTCAGCAGTTACTGTTACTTTGGGTAAGAACCAAATTTAAGACTGCATTTTTTTCCACCAATGCTGGTGGCTGCTTGTTCTAGTGAACATTAGTTGAACCCTTGCTGCCTGCAAGCATAATAATACCCTATCACAGAAAAAAAAAAAAAAAAAACAACCCAAGATAGTCTCTTATTCTGGGGTTTCAAATTCTAACTTGTGCACAGTGGTCCAATTCTACTTCTATTTTATAACATTGCTTGACATTACATACCATGGAAAGCACAGGCTTTACCTGCTGAAGAACAGCATATTTATTAGGTTATTGTGGTTTTTTAAAATGCATTAAAGCATGATTATTTTTAAAAGATGCAAAGTAAAAGCAAAAATTTATACCCATAAAAATACTAATAAGTGTTAGGTAAAATATTTACCACAGTTTACAGGCTGTTAATCCATCATAATGTCACTAACATTGCTAAAGACACACTTAGACTGCAACACTCATTACTTTTTAATGTATCATTCCATTTTAAACAATAAGACTAACAAGTTCAGGCTGTAATAGACTCCCTTCCTAGGAGTGATTAAAAATAAACCCCATTCACAAATGCCATAATATGATTCTACTTATAAGCAACCAATTCTGAGCCAATGTTGTTGTTATTGGGTGTTATCCCACCCAATACTTTGGGTTACTTTTTTGTTTGTTTCCTTTTTTCCTGTGCCATAAAAACACTTCTCCTTAATCTTCAATTTGTTAATAAAATGAGGACTAATACACTAAATTTAGATAACGGATTCAATTATATTTGATCAAAGGCCAGTGACACCACCCCTTAACCCAAAAGTGATGTTTTGTTAATAAATAATATACACCATTTATCAAGGACCTCTCAAATAAGCATTAAAAAAAAAAAAGTCTGTGCAGTTCTCAGCCCTCCATCTCTCAGACATTACTAGAAATAACCATCTCCATCTGAATGGAGGATGAACTTCTTAACTTTCCCCAAACTGGTATTTTTCAAATTAGCAGAGGGCTACTGGAAAAAAGCAACAGGACATCTTGTCAACGTTTCACAGAAAAGCTTAAGAAATATATCAGACCCCAAGAGCTTCTCAGCATTACACAACCAACACATATTTTGGTATGTGTTGATGAATTTGGTATATGCAGGGACTTTTCCTCTAATACATTTTTTGTCCCACTATCTTTTTTCCCTGCAAACCCATTGCTGTGTCTCTCTACTTTCAGTTCTCGCTTTTGTCTATTGCAAACCCCACTTTTCCAAGCCACAGAATGGTACTACCCATTTTCTCATAAAAGCATATAAGATTCCCTAAACAGTTTTCTAACTTCTTTGATCCCTAAATTCAATACTCCCATCCTTCTTTCTAAATGTAGTAAAGGCTGTTCCATCCTACACACAGACTGCTGCCCATCGACTTACTGCTGGAAAAGAGAAAGTCATCTAAATCACAGCCTATGCTCAATTCTATCTAAAATTACCATAAATCTAAACTGCAGAAGCTGCTCAGCCTCCAGAACAGGAGGTGTCAGAAATTCATGAAAAGCCTTCTTTATAAGGTGTACCATGTTCATCTGGCTCTTGCCTAGTAATCAAGTGTTAAAGCTGCAAGCTCATAAGAGTACCTATTATCATCCATCACCGATCGAGACCACTGACCCACTCATCAGTGTGCTGCTAATTCACTTTGGTTTTATTGCTCACCAGGGAATCTCCACCCGAGGTGTCATTTACTTACACTGTTTAAAATTCTCCTCCCAAGCAGCTGTTCTAGGAAACTCCTTACTTTGTTTCAAGCTTTAAGATCCAAAATGAGATCTTTTCAGTTGCCAAAGGAAAAGCAATACTGTGAGGCTTTTGTTGTTAAGGAAAAGAATTAATAATTATCACTGCAAGACTTCAATAGCACTTCTTGTTAACAAGTTTCTGGTAGTAATCAGACAAAGAAGATATGAAGCAGCTCCAGAAATGCCACCATCTACATATTTTCACTTAATGTGTTAACCAATACACATACTTCAATGCATTTATATTGCAGATACTTTTGTAATCACAATAATGATTTGATTGTTTATCACTTCCTAGATTCAGAAAAAGAAAACCTATGAGGAGATTTAAGAAGCACAAGACATCCGTGTTCTATAGAGCTTTAATGGCTGAATATTAGAAATCATTGATAATTCAGCATTCTTGCTGGTGTGTTTTATCAGGATGCTGCACCATGCCCTACAAAGCTCGTATCACTTGTACCATTCTTTCATTTCCAGAGAACGAGTTTCCAAAGTCCTCAGTCTCCCAATGCACTCTTAGGTCAATTTCCCCCCATCCAAACTGTGCTCCCTACGCATGAGAGGGAGAGTAATAGCTGGAATTACTAGCTCTCCTGTTCCTGCACCTACCCTGCCAAGAAGCGACTAAAACTAAGTTTTAGGAAAAGATAGAAATACATCTAGATATATATATACACAGAGATACGTGTCTGTCTATGTATCTGTGTACATTCACATAGCACCAAGTGTAAGAGATTGGGGAGAATGAAGTTATGACTAAATGCCTTTTCTGGACATTTACTTCAGTCCAACACAAGTTATTCACATCAAAAAATTCATAACTGGAAATTACAGTATTGCATTTGTTATAAAGCTAGTGGATCTACTCAGGTTAACTTATTGCTTAACCAAACTAATTACTCCTAGGCAAAGAACGCAAGCCCTAACGCACAGCTGCGAAGCTGCAGATTTCTGAGGAGGTAAGTAACTAATTAATTCCAAAAGTAAACAAAAAACTTCTAACCGTTTCCTGAGACAATGTTTAAAGTTATTCTGGATATAATCAGTACAAGCCTAGCCTTTACCTACTGATGCATATAGTCAATGCAATTTTTAGCAAAGCTGAACGACTCTTTCCTACTACCCTGGGTAACATCTGACAACACCACTCTGTTGTCAGGGAGGAGCAGCGCTCCACAACAGCAGACTCTTCAAGCAGCACTTCTCAGAGCAGCAGTTACTGCTTCAAGAAGTAGGCAAGACCGGGGAACTGCAATAGTTGAAGACAA